GCGTTGAAAACTGGGGAAATACATACAAAAGCTCACTTCAACCATTGTATATATTACAAAAAAGAGCGATAAGAATTGTGCATAAGATGGGATATAGGGATCACACCAATGTAGCTTTCATAGAGTTTAAATTGTTAAAACTTTTTGATTTAGTGGGATATAAGACTGCTGTGTTTATGTATAAAGCCAGGAACAATTTATTACCTGGTGGAATTCAAAAACTATTTAATGAAAGGGAAGGGGGATACAACTTAAGGGGTCAGTTAAATTATAAAATTCATGCTATACGTACAACCAAAAAAAGATTCTGTATTTCCATAAGTGGGGTAAAACTATGGAATAATTTAAGTGTGGACATAAAAAACAGTAAGAGAATTGATGAGTTTAAACACAAATATAAAGGTATGCGTCAATCAAGATATGGGCAAGAACAGGCTTAACGATTAATCAGGTGTAACATTGTGAGTGTGGTGTATAATTCTACTTGTGTGATGTAGAAGATAATTATCAAAGTATGTAATTATGTAAGAATGTTAACTATCTGTAATAATTTTTTTTAGTATATCACTAGCGCGGTGTAGAACAAAATTATCTATGTAGTAATACTGCTTGCAAACCAATGATGATAAGATGATGTTAGGGGGTAGGACTAGATAAGTCTAACTTCTTCCTACTCCGTTCAAGCATGTACTAGGTATAAGCAAATTGAAAATATTTTTGTGGATATGTCTGGAATTACGTGTGATTACATACTGACTGTTGTTACATGTTTGAAAGGATAAATAAATCAAATCAAATCAAATCAAAATGTTGCAGTTGAGTGTATATTACAGAGAGTAATATTAAAACATATTTTCAAATCTTGTTTCTCCTTTACAAGTCCTTCTTTGGAGGACATCTCCAGCTCCCGGTGCGTCCGCAGAGCCAAAACCATTAAAAAACACTGCTCCCATCCAGGTTACAAACCTCCTGCCCTCTGGAAGGAGATGCAGGGGTTTAAGGGCAAATCAAAATCTTGCACTGCAGTCTTAGTGTAGTATCGTTTCTACTGTGAAATATTTCATTTGTTTATTACGTTTTTATATTATTTACTCACATTTTACATCATTTGTTGACATCTTATGATGTATATTTTCTTGTGACACTTGGTCAGATGTAGCACTCCTAATTTTGTTGTATATTTTTGTACAATTACAATAAAGGTTTTATCTTATGTAACTTATGACTATATAACCTTTGATTATTATTTGCATAACTGCAGTGTGTAATCATAGCGTGCTGGGGAGCATGGGAGTTACCCTTGAGAACAGAAACTGTGACTTTGTGTGTTATTCTTGTGCTCATGTTCTGTTATGAGACACAATGACTGGGGGTTCTGGTGAGACTTATGGGCTTCAGACATCATATAAATAGTTGTGTTTGCTGATATTAAAAGGTGCAGCTGTGGGGTTGACAGAAATGGTCACAAAAACCTCCTTCTTCATCAGCCTTATACTGCAGAACAAAGGTATCACTGTGCTAAATGTATACAGCGGGGTCACTGGCAGCTTTCATTTGGTCTGTCACATAATATTAATGGAAACTCAGTACAAAGATATGCATCCATTGTTCAAAATATGAACAAAGTCCATCACCTTTGTGAGCAAAATGTCACAGTGAACAGTTGTTTTAATCTGAAATGGTTCAATATATTAACACATATAACACATGAATGGTAGGAATCCAGTGGTACAACTTAGAGAACTTAGTTTGACAAAGTTGGGGTGGTTATTTATGTTTATAGCTACTTATATGTATTTTTGTTGTGGCTTGTTGTTGCGATTTGTGGTTTCTATTTGAGATTACCTGTTTTTATAGGTCTGTTCATGTTCAAATTAATAAAATACCATAGGGAAGAATACTGTATCTACTGTGTGAGTTGTTTGTTACATGATTTCTGCTTTAATTTTTTAAGAGTACCAGAATTGACTAAACTTAAAATCGTTTCAAAGAAAAACTTCAAAACGTGAATCCTTCACATTGTAACTGAATGTCTTTTCAATATAAACAAAAGGCACTGGTCTGTATTATAGATTCAAAGTTAAGTTTTAGAGATATTCTCAGGCTAAACAAGCCAGCAAGACACTATATCAGAACAAAGCAGTGGGACTGTAATGTCCATCAGGAACTGATTATTATCTTGCCTCATGTTGCTTATTTTACACTGTATTGTAATGTAGTGATGATCTACCAGCAGCTACATCAGAGATGTCCTCCTCAACCTTCTTGCATACAGTTCAACCGTTCCCTCTAGAACACCTTTTCCCCCTAGAAAACATGTTACATGTAGAAAGCCCCTGTGCCCTCAAGATACTCTTAGTGTGTGTATGTGGAGCCTGGCATGACTTCTGCTATCTGATTTGTCAGAGGTCCTATGGTTGGACCTCGTTTAGTATTTTAGAGACAACCTGTTTACACATTCTTGTATTAAAGTGAGGATGAAATAAAAAGCAGAAAATGTCAAAGGCATTAATATAAAAGACAGACACAAATAATGACAAAGTAGTGTAAAAACGTTTTTTTTTAGTCAGTCATTTACACACGAAATAAGTAAACAGAATGATTCACTGACTAATTAAACTGTTTATTTCTTAAATAAATTTAGTTTTACATGGATTTCATAAATGCATAATTTAAAGGTAAATCATACATATATATAAAGTTGTGTAAATACATACTTATACACAATTACAATAAACTTTATCGTTAAAAGGTAATTACAATTTTGCCTTATCCGAATATGACTATTAGAACACGGTAAACGGAATACCTGTCTGTGATCTGTCCTGACTTTCTCTGAAATGCTTGTACTGTCTTGTTTTTTGGGTATTCTCGATTTGTTTTATAAGACGCGCCGCACGGAGCGGCAGCGAGTTCCAGTACCTCTGTCCTCTTTTGTGTTTTCTTCTTTTCGTGCTTTCTGAATTTGTCTATCAAGATGCTGCTGGAACACTGGAATTTCCCCACTGTGGGATCAATAAAGTTCTACCCCCCTACTAGCGCAGACGCTGTGAAACAAATTAATAATTCTAGTCACCACCACTAGATGTCGTCAGTGATGACAGTTGTCAGCTGGTGCCCTTTTCTTCTTCTTCTTTATTGCAACGAAGAAGAAGTCCCAACTTCCGGCATTGGAGAGCCCTTTCGATGTAATTTTGTGCTGAAATTAACAGAGAAAATATCAAAAAGCAGTCATAGTTGTTCACGTCAAAGCTCCAAAGTTTAACGGTGGATTTGATGAAACGCTGTGATGTTAAAAGATCAAGCAATGTCTGTGGTGTTTGACGGGAGTCCGCTGAAAGCGATGCCGAGCTCTCACAGTCACAGCCCGCAGACTGCCCTGAGGTGAGTGGTGCTGGAGAGGAAGCGGCGGAACTGACAGAACAAATACATATAGACCGTAATGTCAGTTTAGTACATGTGTTTTCTTTAGTATTTAAGATAACTGTGCAAATAATAGTGGGTAGGACGTTTCTTCCTGTTCTATATGAAAGTTATTGGATTAACAATAGACGTCAGTGTTGCATTGAGTAGTTTGTAGTTTATCAATTACATGTAGTCAGATAAAGGATAAAGAAACCAATATGCCCATTGTTTGATCCCAAAATGTTGTTTTAAAGTGATTATTTCTTCTGTCTTATGTGATATTGAGCTGCCAATGTCAGTTAATTGATTAGGTGATTACCTTAAAATCAACATCTACTTTGGTAATTGATTAATTTGGTTTTTGGTTCCATCTTCTCAAATGTGATAATTTGTATTTCTCTGTCTTATGTGATAGGAAACTAAATACTAAAATGTGTTTAAACATCCACTTGGACGCTAGAAGATTGTGATTGGCAGTGTTAACTATTTTGTGATTGGTTTATCAAAAAGAATAAGAAAATGGAGAAAAGCCAAATGTTTTTAGTTTAGTCGATTAATGAATCATGAATTCTAATGTACAAGATGTTTCCAGATCCCAAAGTGAGGTCCTTAAACTGCTTTCTTCATCTGACTTGAAACCCAGAACACAAATGTATGTAGTTTACAAAGATACAAAACTGAAAAAAGCAGCTAATTTTGATATTTGACAAGCCAAACATAGCATGTTTTATCATTTTTGCCTGATAAATTATTTAAGCTTTTTATCAGTTATCGAATGATTAGTTAAAATTTTCTTTTGATAGATTGATTAATCCATTCTTTTTTTGCATTAATACATTTCCCACCCTTGTGCAGTGCTCAGGAACTGTCCCAGGAGATCAAGTCCTTCATCAGTGGTGTTGACACCGTTCAGGGTCGTAAGCTCAGTGTCCGGGAACACGCGCGCTGTGCTGTGCGGCTGCTGCGCTCAGTCCCTGCCTGTCGGGGGGCTGTGCTGGAGCATCTCAGAAGTGTGTATGATGAACATGTCTCCACCTTCCTGCACAACCTGGAGATAGAGGGGGATGCCAACTCCGGGGTCAGCTCCAACCTGGAGGACATCATACAGGTGTGATGATATACATACACACAAGTGATAAAAATATGAAAGTTAATAAAGGTTTAAACACTACAGGTCATTTTATTAAGTCCTCTTGGATTAGTATTTTGTAGAGTCAATTAATTGATTACTTGATCAACAGAAAATTTATCAGCAACTGTTTTACAATCACCAATCAGGCAAAAATGGCAAATATTGGGTTTTGATTGTTGGTCATACAAAACAAGCCATTTGAAGATGTCCCATGGGCTTTAGGAAACTGAACAGGTATTTGATGAAGAACTTAATCAAAAAAATTCCACAGAAGATGGTAAATATTTATGTTTGTTTGTCTGTAGGAGGTTCATGGCGTGCTGTCAGAGTTTATCCATCTCAACCCCCGGGCCTGGGCTCCTCTGGTATCCGCCTGGGCCGTTGACTTGTTGGGCCAGTTGAGTAGCAAGCATGCTGGGCGTAGGGTGGCCCCTCACTCCTCCAGCCTCAATGAGCTGCTCCAGCTTTGGATGTCTTGTGCTGCCACTCGGTCCCTCATGGAGACCTACTCGCAGTGTTTGGCTGCCATGCTGGCCTGGTGCCCTGACGCCTGTGTGGACGCGCTGTTGGACACCTCAGTTCAGCACTCCCCGCATTTTGACTGGGTAGTGGCTCACATCGGCTCTGCCTTTCCTGGAACTATCATCAGCCGAGTGCTGGCATGTGGCCTCAAGGACTTCTGCTCTCATGGTGTCAAGGACCAAGGGCTAATGGTGATGGGAGTTGATAAAGGCAGCAGAGTGCCCAAGATTGGCTCTGTGGTGGGAATCCTTGGACACCTTGCGGCACACCACTCTGATAGCATCAGAAAGGAGTTACTGAGGATGTTCCAGGAAAGCCTGACTCCATCGAGCCCACTATCTCCCACTTCGTCATCAACATCTTGGGAGAGTTCACCTCAACTCCGTCGTGCTGCAGTACCATTTCTTCTGCAGCTGGCTGCGATGTCCCCAAACCTATTTGGTGCTATGTCTGCAGAGCTGGTAGAGCTGTTACGTCCCCCTGTCCTGCTCCAGCTGCAGACCTTGCTGCAGGGCCTCCCTAGAGAGGAACTGGATAACATGCTGGGGCTGGCAGTTCACCTTATTAGCCAGAGTCCATCAGGAGGGGCCCGGGTCCTTCGTTTCCTTGCAGACACTGCAACCCCAGCCTCAGTCATCATCTCTGGCCCTACACCTTCACCTCATGAAGGTGTCAGGGAAGGCTGTGACCGCCTCCTTCAGATGCTTCTTCTACATCTCCACAAACTAGTCTTCAACCGCTCAGATGGCATTGATGGAAATCCCCATCAGTCTTCTTTCTCTCAGCCCCAGAGGGTTATCCCCTTCTTGGAGGAGCTGCAGTCTCATGTAGGTGAGCTTTGTGCTGAGACATTACGACTGGAGAGGAAGCGTCACCTCTGGTTGCACCAGCTATTGTGTCTGCTCTCAGTGTATGGGGGTCCTAGTGTGGCCACAGAGGCCCTGTGCCAGCTACTCACTCAGGCCCACAACCCAGAGGAGCTGGCTCTGGCCTGGCAACTCCAC